CCTGCGAAGACGAAGTGCTCAGCGAAGTAAAGCGAAGAAATGCCTTGGAAGATTCTGGGTCAGAAGGAAACCGCTTCTTTCTCGCTAGTCTGGAGAGCAGCTGTGACCACCCTTCCTGCTGGGAAACAGAGCGTATTCCCTCCTAGAAATTTAAGCTATTTAGATTTACTCTTGAGATTTTGTTTGTTTGTTGGTGCATTTTTCTTTTTTTCCTCTCTGAGGCATTGCTTTATGTTAAGGTTTTTGTTTTCTTGCTTTGTTGATTATATGTAGATTTTTAACAAAAAAATCCAACTCTTTAAACTAATCTACCTCTTCATTTCAGGATATGGAAAGGATTCAGAGATGTGGGGAGATTCTCTGGGAGGTGCTCTTTTGCTCCTCCTGAAATAGGAGGAGTTAGCATGGTTTTGCATCTTCTTATTTTTAGACTTCCACTGAATTTGGGGATGTTTGAATTGGAAGTTGGTCATTTCACGGTGATTTTGTGCAGCCTCATTAACTTGATGTCCTTTAGGTGTCATTTATAGACATTCACTCAAATGTACTAATTGCCTGGTATTTTTGAACTGTCTTCCAGAGAGAAAAAGCATCATTACACGCTGGTGATATTCCTAGCTTTGCTTTACATCTTAGGCTTTTAAAAATCCCTTTAGTATTTAATGCCTAAGACTTTTGACTCTTGTAACCACTTCCTGTTAATTAAGAGACATGAACTTGCTAGCAACCTTTGAAGAAATTTAAAATTAATTAGGAAGCCGAACAGGCTTTAAAGTGTGAAATAAATCTGTGTGAGGTGTAATGTAATACTGTGCACTTTGCGTTGACTAGGTTTGGAGCAGTAGATACCCTAACCCTGTTTTTTTAAATGTGTGTGTTTCAGGTTCAGCTATTCTGGCTCTCTTGCTGGCTGGTTATCTGGCACAGCAGTATTTACCAATGCCGACACCGAAAGTCATCGGGATTGACCTTGGCACGACTTACTGCTCCGTCGGTGTCTTTCTTCCTGGAACAGGGCAGGTGAAGGTTATTGCAGATGAAAATGGGCACAACAGCATACCAAGTATAGTCTCTTTCACAGACAGAGGTGTGTACGTGGGGTACGATGGCCTAGAACTGGCTGACTCAAATTCTCAGAACACCATATATGACGCAAAAAGATTCATTGGGAAAATCTTCACTTCAGAAGAACTGAAAAGTGAAAGTAGCAGGTATCCTTTTAAGGTAAGTAGCCATCTTCTTCAGTCCTCTCCAAGGATTGAGCTATAGGATGCTTGAAACATGTAGTAGGTGACCAGCTTGCCTGATCTGGAGTCTTTTGTCTGAACTTGATGTGCCTGAAAACTGTAAAAGGTATCCAAAGAGGAGAGGAGGAGATGGCTGTGAAGTCACACACCTCTGTGAGACCAGATAGTGATTTTTCTAGAGGACCCTGCCCTCTGCTGTGAAATATGTTTCTGGGTAACCTTTCAGCGCCTTCTCTTAAAGTAGAGATTTCAACTTGAAATTCTAAGTGTGTTTTTGTGGAAACTTCACTACTTGAGATTAAAACAAAAAACCAACCAAACAACAAAGTCCTGTTTTCTATGTTGCGGTGTGGTTTGGTTTGTTTTTTTTTCACCTAGGACTTTTCTAGTACTTACTTGGCCAGCAGCAGGTTGTGAAAGCTACTTTTTAAAAAAAGTATTGGATTGATTTAGAATGGTGTGCAATATTTGCTGAAAAGACACAAATTTTCAGGCACTGAGAACAGTCTTTAAATTCTTTACTTGTTAAGAGCAGCTCTTCCAGTACTCCTTCGTTTGCTTCCTGTCAGAAAGAACCTGTGGGGAGCTTTGTAAGCAGGGTAAACCTAATGATTAAAAAGCATTAATTTTATCTTTGGATTTGGTGTTGAAGTTGATTACACAGTTGCTAGGTCTTTGTTTTTAATGTGACACTGTGTCTTGCCTGGGCACAGGAGGTATCGCGACTTTGGATGCACTCAGACCCCTTAAGTGGCATGTTTTGCATAATAGTCGTAGTCAAGGAGTAGAAGTGATTCAGGAATTGGAAAAAGCACATTCATGTTTGTCTAGAAAAACAGAATATATGCAAAGAAAATGTGGTGGGAGAGCATAAGAAAAAGACTGCTCACCTGTGGGTTGTGTTGCTTTTTCCTCCTAGATTTTCAACAACAATGGATCAGCTGAATTTTCAGTGACAACTAATGAAACTTTCCATGTCACTCCAGAGCATATTGGCTCTCAGCTGCTACTGAAATTGAAGAGAATGGCAGAAGACCACCTTGGCGTGCCTGTTTCGGAGGCAGTCATCTCTGTGCCAGCAGAGTTTGATGAAAGGCAAAGGAATTGCACCATTAAGGCAGCTAACCTTGCAGGTGATGTCTTTTCTTTCCAGCATTTTTCTGTGAAACCTTCAGCTCTATTTCACTAACAGCAAAGTGTTTGGGGATGATATAGAAACAGTGGTAGAGAACCTCAGAGTGGATTTTATTTAAAACAAACAAAAGAACACCAACCAAAAAAAACCAGCAAAACCAGTTAATGGTAAATGCCATTATGATGTGAGAAGTGCACTTTTCTGAAACGTGCCTGATTGTTGCTTGGTGTATTTTCCCTTTGTAGGGCTGAACGTTTTGCGAGTAATCAACGAACCCACAGCTGCAGCTATGGCTTACGGGCTCCACAAAGCTGATGTCTTCAATGTTCTGGTAGTGGATTTGGGTGGAGGAACTTTGGATGTGTCTCTGCTGAACAAGCAGGGAGGGATGTTCCTCACACGAGCCATGGCAGGTGAGAAAAATGCCTTGCTTTGTCCAGGAGCCTGGGGCAAAGGTGCACCTAAAGTCGTCATCATTAGAGGGCCTTTTTAAAACATACCAGCCTTGTCACAGAGTGTCCTATGAATGTGTTCTCAGCTGCCTTTCATGCAAAATTAGGTTTGTGACTGGTTTCAACAATGAAGATAAACACAAGTATTGGCTGACTCAAAGGAGTAAGTTGGGGTTTCATTCTATCTAAGGCTGCTAACTTTAGTGCTTACTAGTGAAGTGCTGGTGCGTGTCACAATTACTTTGACTGGACTTCTGGGGACTAGGGGGTGTTAGAGATCTTTCTATTGCCTTTTTCCAAACTGGAAATAGCGTACCAAAACCTTTGACCCGTGCTTTAGTGCATCCTCACCTTGTGCTTTGCTCCAGCTGAGTCGGGCAGGGTTTGGAGTGTGCATGCTGTTATCCCAGAAGTGGTTTTGTGAGCGATGCGCGCCAGTGATTCCTCGCCCCGCAAGGAGCTCCGGCAGCAACGTTTAGTAAAACTGCCACCAATGTGCAGCTGTTCTTCATGTGACCTGAACTCAGACAGGTCTGGGACGCAGCACTACTGTCTGCATTGCCTTCAGAGAACAGAGTTTGGTGTGAGCTGCTGCTCAGTCCAGTAGGAGTGGAAGAGCAAGAAGTATTCAGCAGCTTAATTCTGATCTGTTTAGACAGAGGTCTACTAAGTGAATTCCTGTTCAGTCAAAACAAAACAGTGGAAACTTTGAGAGAGTGGTGTTCAACACAGATGAAAATCTGCAGGCCATTTTTTTAACTCTGTTGAATGGAAAGCAGGAACCAGTATTTGACAGGTTTTGAAAACATGGTCCAAGAATAATCTTTCAGTAGAAATTGGTTCTATATTACGCTTTTTTCTCATTCTGAAGGATAATATATAAGATATACCTCTTAATAGAGCTTGTAGTGTGCTGCTTGTGTTTCATCTTCCACTTCCTACTTTTCAGCACACTTGAGTAGCACATAGTTTTTCATGTGGGCGCACAAAGACTTTGAATAACTTGCAACCATTAAAACTACAATCCTGATAAAGCTGTAATGTCAAGTGCTAAGAGAAAAATCCATTCTGGGCAGAGAAATTTGAAACTGAATTTTATCTGGTAGAAGAATTTGCTGTGAGAGATGCAGTTGCAGGGTTCCAGCTAGAAATTTATAATTACATGTAGTCTTGTATAGAAAATACCCTTGAGTTCACCACCACTGCTTTTTTTTTCCTGTTGCAGCATAACAGAGCAGTTCCAAGGGAAAAATATGGGGTACCAGGGCAGGGAGAGATTCTAAAACAGCTGGTATAAAAATGGTCTGGAACTTACTGTCCATCATGTGTTCTTCAGCGGGCAAGAGTTACGTCAGGTTTTGCAGGCCTGTGAGCTTTTGTGCCATGCTTATGGTCCTAGTACCATAGCTCCAGCCCTCAAGCACTTTCACAGTAAAAGAGATGATGTGTGCTGCTTGCTGAGGCTTTGGAGGTGAAGAGTCTGATGCCTTCTATTCTGATGTTTCAGGTAACAACAAGCTTGGAGGACAAGATTTTAATCAGCGGTTGATGCTGTACTTGTACGATCAGCTCCACCAAATGTATGGTTCTCTGCCAACAAAAAAAGAAGAAATACATCGTCTCAGACAGGCTGTGGAAGCAGTTAAATTAAACCTGACTGTTCATGAGGCAGCTACACTGAGGGTGTTGTTGACTATGCCAGAAAGGAAGCTCACAAAAGAACTTTCAGAGGGTGAGGTGAAAACAAACACTGTGGTGAAAGGCAAGCCTTCCCCAAAACTGAAAGATCTTGGAGACGCTTCAAAAGCAGAGAACAACTTTGTCGAAGTTGTGTTTGAAATGGAAATCTCTAGGAAGCTATTTGAGATGTTAAATGAGGACCTTTTTGAGAAGATTCTTGTGCCCATTGAACAAGTATTGAAGGAAGGCCACTTACACAGAGGAGAAGTGGATGAAATCGTGTTGGTTGGGGGCTCCACGCGGATTCCTCGGATACGCAGGGTTATTGGGGATTTCTTTGGGAAGGATCCCAACACCTCTGTAGACCCTGACCTGGCGGTTGTGACGGGTGTGGCTATCCAGGCAGGCATTGTTGGGGGGTCTTGGCCACTCCAGGTCAGCGCCATAGAAATCCCAAACAAGCACTTACGGAAGACTAACTTCAACTGAAAAGAAACTCTTCCCCTTTGCATTCCATCTCTCCAAAAGCCCACTCTGACGGTGCATACTTATCTGACTGGCAGTGGAGCCTAATCTTAACTGTATTGTTTTAATTTTTCAACTTTTCCAGTTAGGTGTTACTGGACACCCAACTGTGTTAGACCTACATGTTACTTCAAAGGTACGAGTGGGTTTTGAAGTTCTAAAGTGTCCCATGTTTGCTTGTAGACTGGATATTGGATGAAAACACTGGTGAAGACACACTTGTGTTTTCTTGCTAAATTTTATTAGCAAGTCCTGAAGAGAGATATGTTTAAAACACAGAGGGAGTGTGACCAAAGGTTAGAGCTATTGTGGTATGGTACCATAGGTATCCCTAGGCCCAGCAGATTTACTCTGAGAGAATGTGAAGAAGCAGTGTTAATGCACGGAGCACTAGCAATGCTGAGCTTAAATTTATTTATTCAATAGAATCATTTAGAGCATTTAAGCACCTTTCTGAAAGGCATGTTGCAGCTTGAATGAGACATGCATTCACTTGATTCTTCTGCTGTTCATAACAGCATAATGGTATTACTGAGGCTATATGGCAAATTGTCTCAATGCTTCAGCCAAACCATGCTAAGAAACTTCACTCTTGCTAATGTAGAGTTAGGTAGTGTGTCTCCAAGGGCTTCCTTCCTGCTCTGGTGTGGATGGTTAACACACAGGTGCTGCTGTCGTACCACTGATGTCCTCCACAGAGGACAAGGGTGTATTGCCAGCTATGTATACCTCCCCTTGCCTTACTTGAAAACTGCAGTCATTTTGTATATCTTAAAGCCACCCCAGTAGATCTTCCCTTGAATTTGACCAGTGAGGATTTCATTGTTGCACATCTAAAAGTGTCTTGACGTCTTTCCCCTGGAGTGTCCCAAGCTCTGCTGCTCTCGGGGAGGAAGTGTGGGACATCTGGTTCCTGTAGTCCTAGTAAATGAAACCTCACTCAACTATTTTGGACTTTTAAGCTCAGATCTCTGGTTTAAATTTTGTCACATTGTCACTCTAAACTGAGCATAGAGACTGTTCTTTTGGAAAGGAAGCAGTGTGTGTAGCTTGGGATTTGACATAGCCCTTCTTAGGGCTGTATTTTAGGACAAATAGTTTGCTATCCAGTTACGTGGCCAACGCATGAGGACAAAAATATTTAATGATCTGAAAAAAAAAAAAAATTGGTCAGTTCTGCTGTCTTTGGAGGGTTAAATCAATACTTACAAGGCCAGTTGAATTCTTTCATCTGTGTAAAACTTTGTACAATGAAAACCCTTCCTTCAGCTCAGACTGGCTCTGACATTCACCAGCCCAGCCTTCCCCAGGTGAGCTCTGGTCACAGGTGCTTCTGAGCACTCTCTGCTATTCGCCAGAATAATTTTGTTCGCATTAAGCTTGCCAAGATAAAGTGTGGGTCTTAGATTTATTGTTTAACCTATGGCTATATTAAAGCAGGCTTATTATTCTGGCAGTAGGCCTGATTTATTGCGCTGCCATAAATCACTTGTGCTGATTCAGCTGTTTGCATAGCCATTGTCTAAACATCTCTTTGAAGTAATCCAATTAAAAACCTCTTAAATTGAATCATAGTTGCACACAGCCATTCCGTCAGCATTGTTTAACTTCACAGAGGATTCCCAAAATACTGCTATCATTTTCAGTTCCCTGAGTTGAAAACCAAAGTGGGTTTTTTGAGGACTTTGACGTTTTTTTTTTTCCTTTGTACCTCTTTGAAAGTCACCCTGTCTAAGTCTGTATGGAACTTCCAGTAACTAAAATTCCTGTGTTGAAAGAAGTGCCTCCTCAGTGAAATCACAGATGAATGCCAATATACAGTTCTCGTACACAGTTGCTGTTTGGGGCCTTTTCTCTGCAAATATATGTATTTGATTCAACATATATTTTGAAGTCTTTGGATTTGTGGTGGCCTTCTGTCTGGCTGTAAATTCATCTCAAAGTCTACTGGAGTTACAGTAGGTCTTTTAGTCTTCATTTTTTTTAATGCACTATGTAAAATGAGCAGACCTGTATAAAAATGGAAGCACATTGGTGAAGTTTAACTGTTAAAAGCTTTTTGCAGTTTTGAGACAAGTTAGGTAGGAGTGTAGAAAGTTAACTTTAAACTGTTAAACTCTCAATGCAAATAAATGAAGTACTTTTTTTCTGTTTTGTATTCCATTACTCTGGAGGAGTTAAGTCTCCTTCAGTGTTAGTCCAGGAACTGTAAGGGAAGGATGAGTGGTTTACTTGTTTAAAAAAAAAAAATAAAATTCACAAAAGTATGCTTATTCAGATTTCTGTACAGATTTTTTTTTTTAATAGAGAAGTTGCTGTACGTTGGATTTCACAATGCATCCTTATTTATTAAATAACTCGTGAATTCTGCAGTCAAGTTATTTATTTTGTTGTATCTTTTAATTTTAATGCTGTATCTTGGCAGAAACCACTGAATTCTAAAGATGAGTCCACTGTACTGAGTATTTGCAGGTGTGCACATGTACTGCTTACCAGAAGTCTAAATTTAAACAGGTTGATATTTGAATGCTGAAATCTTTCTACAAACAGTCCCTGAAACCCACGTGTGGTTGCCTGTGATGTCGAGTCCTTAACAAGTTTATATAGCTAAAGCTTGTTTTGTGATTTGCAATTCTGAAAGTATGAGATACCTCACCAATTTTATGTTCCTCAATTGTTTCCAAGTGCAGATGATGAAATGCATTTTATAAATAACCTTTTAGAATGTTTTTAATAAAAGCATTTTCTGTCTTGTTTCAGTGCCTCAGGGACATACTGTCACAGCACTATTTCCCTGTTTCCCTAATTCCTCTGGAGGTTAGAGGATAAGATTGTCAAGGGGTGGCTATACCCTGGAGTGACAGGTCTTTGGGAAGTGGCACAGAGGGGTGGTAGGAGCTGGGCTGGGAAGGGAAAAGCCTTTCTCTTCAAGCTGCAGTCTGGGGTGGAAGAATGAACTCGGAAGACAAGTGTGGGTTGCTACAGGGGAAAGCAAGGAATGACTGGGAGGGAAGCCCTGGTAAAAGGGGGTGGTAATGGACTCTCTTCTCCTGGTGGGAGTGGGAGTAGTTCTCACCCCTCCTACACTTATGCTCCGTGTGCTCTGCCTGTTGGACCACAGGATGTGGGGCAGGAACACGCCCTTCCGTGCGCTGGTCGACAGCTGCAGGATGGAGGTAGGGAATGGTTCCCGGCATACGCCAAGTGAAGGCTGCGTGTGGGTTCACGCACAACATGAGGAAAATGTGATGTTGGTTGCAGGAACCCAGTAGGTTCCAAATTTTCCTTTGGTATTTCCAGCTCTGAGAGGGTTTCTGTATTTGTGTCATCTTGGGATGGCCTTCAGTTTAAAACCAATCTTTTGGGTTTTAATCTTTTGGCCTTCAGTTTAAACACAATCCAGAGTTTTCATGGAGTACTTCTGCTCAGAAATCTAGCCAGAGAAAAGGCCCCGGAGCGTCTGCAAGCCTCGTGTTTCCACCGTGCAAACGCTGTGATAACCCTGAGCCCAGTCCAGAATGTGTAGGTTCCTTTGAGGGAAACGAGGGGTTTCCCCTCAACTTCTCCTTTTTTTCTCCTGGGATACTGCCAGGAAAGGGTAGAGCAAGGCCTGGAAGCAGGGCTGAGAATATGCTGCCTGTAGGATTTTTGAATGCTGTAGG